CCCCCAGAACCCGCTGTCACCCGCTGTCACCTGTGCCGGGCAGCGAGGGGTGGTGGCACTCGCAGGGGACACCCCCAGAACCCATTGTCACCCGCTGTCACCCGCTGTCACCTGTGCCGGGCAGCGAGGGGTGGTGGCACTCCCGGATGGCCGCGTGGGTGTCCAGGCGGATCCGCACTCGCCCGCTGTGGGCGCGGTTGTCAAACGTCACCTGGGGACAGGGGCTGGCACTGTCACTGTGGCACTGTCACTGTCACTGTCCCAGGGACACTTTGGGGACACTGAGGACACTGTGAGACACTCAGGGGACACTCAGGGACAATCAGGGGACACTTTGGGGACACTTTGGGGACACTGAGGACACTCAGGGGACACTTTAGGGACACTCAGGGGACAATCAGGGGACCCTGGGGACACTCAGGAACACTCAGGGACACTTTGGGGACACTGTGGGACGCTCAGGGACACTCTGGGGACAATCAGGGGACACCTTGGGGACCCTGGGGACACTCAGGGATATTTAGGGTCACTCAGGGACACTTCGGGGACACTTTGGGGACAACCAGGGGACACTCAGGGATATTTAGGGACCTTGGGGACACTTTGGGGACACTCTGGGGACACTCTGGGGACACTTTGGGGACCCTGGGGACACTCAGGAACACTCAGGGGACACTTTGGGGACCCTGGGGACACTCAGGGACACTTTGGGGACACTTTGGGGACCCTGGGGACACTCAGGGATATTTAGGGTCACTCAGGGACACTCTGGGGACCCTGGGGACACTTTGGGGACCCTGGGGACACTGTGGAACACTCAGGGACACTTTGGGGACGCTTTGGGGACACTCAGGGGACCCTGGGGGCATTCAGGGATAATCAGGGGACACTGTGGAACACTCAGGGACACTTTGGGGACACTTTGGGGACCCTGGGGACACTCAGGGATATTTAGGGTCACTCAGGGACACTCTGGGGACCCTGGGGACACCCTGGGGACACCGTGGGGACACTGAGGACACTGTGGAACACTCTGGGGACACTTTGGGGACACTTTGGGGTCACTCAGGGACACTTTGGGGACACTGAGGACACTCAGGGATATTTAGGGTCACTCAGGGACACTCTGGGGACACCCTGGGGACACCGTGGGGACACCGTGGGGACACTCTGGGGACCCTGGGGACACTTTGGGGACCCTGGGGACCCCCTGGGGACACCGTGGGGACACTGACGGTGACACTGAAGGTGTAGCAGTCGGGGATCTCGTGGTTCAGCAGCGTTTGGATGTTGATGGCCTTGAGCTGGAACTCCACGGTGACATTGATCAGCCTGAGGGGACAGAAAACACCCTGAAATCCCAGAATTCTCCCCAAAAAAATCACCCCAAAATCCCAAAATTCCCCCCAAAAATCACCCCAAAATCCCAAATTCCCAAAAAAACCCACCCCAAAATCCCAAATTCCCCCCTAAAAAAATCACCCCAAAATCCCAAAATCCCAAAAAAGGGGAAAATTCCACCCCAAACTCCCAAATTCCAGAAAAAAATCACCCCAAAATCCCAAATTCCCAAAAAAGGGGAAAATTCAACCCCAAAATCCCAAAATTCCCAAAAAAGGGGAAAATTCCACCCCAAAATCCCAAAATTCCCCCAAAAAAACCCCACCCCAAAATCCCAAATTCCCCCCAAAAAAATCACCCCAAAATCCCAAAATTCTCAAAAAAACCCCACCCCAAAATCCCAAAATTCTCAAAAAAAATCACCCCCAAATCCCAAATTCCCCCAAAAAAACACCCCAAAATCCCAAATCCCAAAAAAAACACACCTGGGAATGCCCAAAATCCCCAAAAAAGGCAAAAAATTCCACCCCCAAATACCAAAAAACCACAGGAAAAGGGAAATTCCTCCCCAAAATCCCAGAAAAAACCGGGAAAGGGGAAATTCCTCCCCAAAATCCCAGAAAAAACCGGGAAAAGGGAAATTCCTCCCCAAAATCCCCCTCAGGAATTCGGGGAAGGGGAAGGCCAATCCCAGAGCGGGGATTTTGGGGATGGGAAACGCCCCTGGGGGGGATTTCCGGGAATTTGGGGTTTTTGGGGTTCAGGTGTGGAATTTTGGGATTCACCTGTGGAATTTTGGGGTTCAGGTGTGGAATTTTGGGATTCACCTGTGGAATTTTGGGGTTTACCTGCGGAATTTTGGGGTTTACCTGTGGAATTTTGGGGTTCAGGTGTGGAATTTTGGGCTTCAGGTGTGGAATTTTGGGGTTTACCTGTGGAATTTTGGGGTTCAGGTGTGGAATTTTGGGGTTCAGGTGTGGAATTTTGGGATTCAGGTGTGGAATTTTGGGGTTCACCTGTGGAATTTTGGGGTTTAGCTGTGGAATTTTGGGGTTTAGCTGTGGAATTTTGGGGTTTACCTGCGGAATTTTGGGATTCAGGTGTGGAATTTTGGGGTTCAGGTGTGGAATTTTGGGATTCAGGTGTGGAATTTTGGGGTTTACCTGTGGAATTTTGGGGTTCAGGTGTGGAATTTTGGGGTTTACCTGTGGAACTGGAGGGTGAAGTTGCCGTCG